CATCGTCCCCGAAGAATCCCCGAATGGGGGCCTTCAGGGGGCCCCTTTTGGGGGTTGTTTTCTGCACCCCATATTGCGGTCCCCCCCCCATGACCCAGTACTCGGAGGTGGACAGGCCTCCTGCCCTGACACGTCGATTCAGGAATTGGCCGCTTTCGGTGCGCGAGAGGGGCCCCCCTGGGGGCCTTTTCCTACACCCCATGTTGGGGTCCCCCCCTCAAGACCCATTACCACCCGCCCGAGGTGCCGGGGGGGGAAGTGCGCCGACATCGTCGCCGAAGGATTCCCAGGGCAGGCGCGAGGGTGCAGGCGTGCGGCGGGGGCGAGGCGGCGAGGGCCGCGGAGCGTCTCTGGGCCGTCTCGGCTGCTGCTCGCGTCCTCGGGCAGTTAGGTCGGGCCTGGCCCTCTACAGGGAGGAATGCTCAAAGACAGGCAAAACATAGTCAGGGGGACGATGTTTCTGGCATTTCTGAATTTCTGTACGATTATTGTTATTATTGATACTATTATTCTTATTGTTATTATTGTTGTTATTAGTTGCATTATTTGTTTTTACAAAAGGCCAACATCCGCCTGTAGGGGGACATGCCCGACCGAAGTCTTGGGCGTTGGGCGTAGGGTCTGGCCGCGTGCCGTGGAGCTATGTTGGCCTTCTGTGGAATGGGCGGGACCCCCTGACGCTCTCCTGGCCAGCGCGAGCGCTGCCTCGCACAATCGTGGCCGTGTGCAGGGAGCCGCCGCGGTCGTGCTCCTCCTGCACCGTGGGGCTCCATGTATTTGTCCTTGTGCGCTGCGCTTGGAATTGTTCGTAGTCCAGTGATCTCCCTTCCCCTTTCTTCGCCTCCCTCCTCTCTCTGGGACCTTCCTCTGGGACAGGAGGTTTTGCTTCAGTGTCGCTTGTCTGCGGTACATCCGCAGGGATGGCGCGGATGGAGAGCGGGGAGGGGGGTGAGGCAGGGTGAGGGGGAAGGTGGGTGCATGGAACTGGAATTGTGGGGGGACACAGCGATGATGATGATGATGATGATGATGCTGCTGATGATGATGATGATGATGACGACGACGGTGATGATGATGATGATGATGATGATGATGATGATGATGATGATGATGATGATGATGATGATGATGATGATGATGATGATGATGATGATGATGATGATGATGATGATGATGATGATGATGCTGATGCTGATGCTGATGCTGATGCTGATGCTGCTGAAGATGGTGGTGATGATGCTGATGCTGCTGATGATGTTGATGCGAAGGAGGAGGAGGAGGAAGAGGAGGAGGAGGAGGAGGAGGAGGATGGGGATGCTGATGATGTTGATGATGAGGATGAGGATGAGGATGATGATGATTATGCTAATGAATATGATGATGATGGTGATGCTGCTGATGCTGATAAGGATGATGATGATGGTGATGGTGATGGTGATGCTGATGATGCTGATGATGATGCTGATCATCATCACGATGATTATGATCATGATGATCATGATGCTGATGGTGATGATGCTGCCGATGGTGGTGGTGGTGATGATGATGATGACGATGATGAGGCGGAGGAGGAGGAGGAGGAGGCGGATCGCCATACTTTGTCCTTCCCTTCCCATGTTCCTCGCTCTCTCCCACCTCCCCAGCCGACCTGTCCTACTCTCCTTTCCCTCCCTCGCTCCGCCTCCCTTCCCCTCGGTTTCTCTCCTGCCCGCCTGCCCTCCCCGTCTCTGCATCCCCCTACCCGTGCCTCCGCCTCCCCTCACCTCCCATCCCCTCTCCCCTTTTTTCCCTGCGTCTCCCTCTCCGTATATGTCCCTCTCCCTCGCTCCCTGCCCCTCCCCCGTCCTCGTCGTCTCTCCGACGCCCTCCCCCATTGGTCTTTGCTCGCCTCCGTCTCCCTCGTCCTCTCCCTCGTCCGGACCCCGTTCTGCACCGCTCACGAGCTCGCCGCGACCCGCGCGCATGGGCGGTGGGGCCGTGACGACATTCGAGACGCGATTCGCCCGAGCCTAAGGATCTTGGCATCGCTCGGACGTGTGCATTTTTCCTTCGGCGAGGACCATCGAGAAGCATACTTGATCATTTGGCGAAAAAGCCACGCACGATACCGAAAAAAGCACAGGGAATGGGCGTCCGAGCGATGGCCAGAGGATAGAGCACCCTTTGCGTCTTTGACGATTCGGCCCCATCCCGAGGAAAGGTCGGATGTCCAAGGGCATGTTGCAGGGACGGCCAAGGGTCTGCGTGCGCCTTCCCCGCCCCCTCCCTCCCGGCGTGACTCCCTCGCACCCGTCCCCTCCCCCATGCCAGTCTGCACTCGCTCAATCTGATGTATGTCCCTAGGTCGCGTCCGGGGGGGGCTCTGTTCTCTCGCATGTCGTCTTTCGATCGTACAGGCCTCCCAGCTATGGTACATGTGCTGCTATGTTTGGGTTCGACCATATTTTGTGTTATTCAGAATTCAACGGGCGAAGAACGGTATAACATAAACTTTTTCGCCGTCGGGGACACTTGTCCCAGGGTGGCTGGAAAGTTTGTGCCCTTACGGTGGCACCGTAGGGGTATAAATTCTTCACGCTTCGCGTATCCCCACCAGCCCATCTCAAAACAGCAACTCTAGCGAAGCATGCCGACAGTCGTGTTTTTCAGGCGTGTTTCCGCCTGCCCCCGCATATCTCCCCTGTTCCTCCTTCCTCCCGCCTCCTTGTACATCCTCCTTGTGGTGGGAGCGGGAGAAGGACGAGGCGGAGGAGGAGGGAGAGAAAGCGCTCCTCGTGGTTTGAGTCGTTTGGGGTTTCTCGTCCTGGTGTGAGTCGTTCGGGCCCTTCTTCCTGGTGTGAGTCGTTCGGGCTCTTCGTGGTGTGAGTCGTTCGGGCTCTTCGTCCTGGTGTGAGTCGTTCGGGCTTCTCGTGGTGTGAGTTGTTCGGGCCCCTCGTCCTGGTGTGAGTCGTTCGGGCCCCTCCTCCTGCCCGTCCAGAAACGACGCCCAGGCGAGTAGAGGGTCGTCCTGATGGGCTTTTCGGCGTCTTGGGTGCCTCGGGGGGGCCTCTTTGGGCCGTTTGGGATCCTCTTGGGGGCCTCCTGGGGGCCTCTTGGGGCCATCTTGGGGCCTCTTGGTGCCTCCTGGGCGCTTCTTGGGGCCATCTTGGAGGAAATCGATCAAAGAAGAGGGGAGCTTTAATTAGCGCTGCCCCCTCAGAAGGCCAAAATGGGGCCAAAACCTTAGTAAAATCAATGATTCTGGCTTGAAAGAAGAGGGGAGCTTTAATTAGCGCTGCCCCCTCAGAAGGCCAAAATGGGGCCAAAACCGTAGTAAAATCAATGATTTTTGGCTTCAAAGAAGAGGGGCGGGTTTTTTCTCCCCCCCCCCGTCGGGGCCAGAATCCTCGTGAGGGGTGTCGTTTTTTAGCCCTCCCAGGAGTCGAAAAAGACCCCTCCAACCACCCGCGAAAGGACCTCTCCAGGCCCAGGGGGAGGGGGTAGGGGGAGGGGTAAACCCCTCCCCGAAGGGGAAGAAGGGGGTTGAGAACAGAGCGGGCCCTCTAAACCACTCACGCCCAAAGGGCTGGTGGGACTTTCCAGCCGCCCAGGGGCAGGCGCCCCCGACGGCGAAACAGTTCATGTTATACCGTTCTTCGCCCGTTAAAGAATGGTGTCTCCGCTCCAGCGCTGGCCTCCTTTCAGGGTCCGCGCCTTGCTCCCGTCGATCCGATGTGTTGCCCTCGCCGCAGCGCGGGCCACCGTTCCTGGATCCGAGTCACATCCCTCGTCGCTCCCGCCGGCTCCTCTCCCATCCCCTGGTCCTCCTTGCTCCTCCCGTTCTCCCTGCACCTGCTGCTGCTGATCCTCCTCCCTCATGCTCAGCCTCTTCCTCCTGCTCATCCTCATCGTCTCGGGCCGGGCGAAAGGGGGGGATTGGGCAAGGGGGGGTTACGAAATTTGCTGCATGCAGCTGGTTTCGGCCTCACCGAGGGGGCCATTCCTCGATACATAGCCGCCTCCGGCGCCGGGAGGCGCCGGGAAAATCAGCTACGTAAGCTGATTCTCAAACCCCCCCCTTGCTGTCCCCCCCTTTCGCCCGACCCGATCGTCGTCATCCGCAGCACACAGCACACCTTCTTGCGATTGCGCATAGCACGATGAGGTCATCCGATGGGTTCCAGACGCCCGTCGGCTGATACGGACAAATCGGCGCAATGAAGAGTGATGGGTGGGAGGGGCAGGATGTCAGATATGGCGCGGGTGCACCTAGCTTGCCTTCCCCCCTCTCCTCTCTCTCTGGCCCCCTCTCCCCTCCCCCTTCGTCATGCCTCTCTCCTCCCGCCCCATGTGAGATGCGCTCACGGGGTGTTATTTGGAAGGCCTTACGGCCGGTGTTGCCGACCTTGCAGGGGGACGAGAGTGACGACGGCGGCGACGGCGGCGGCGACGTCGACGACGACGCTCACGCCTTCTTGGGACTCACGGGGGCCTCTTGGGCTCGGTCGTGGGGCCCCGAACCTTGGGAAGTTCCGTGGTCACTTGGAGCCGCCCCGGTGCGTGTATGAGTCCTCCCAGAGGCATGTGGGAAAACTCGCAGCACCCCGCAGCAGCAGATGAGAGTGACCCCCCCCTGACCCTCGTGTCCAAAGGGGGGGACCCCCAGAAGAGGTTACGACCCCCCAGGACTCCCCCTGGGACCCCCCCCCTTCGATCCCCCGTCTGCTATCCCCACCCCCCAGGGCAGGAAAGGGATCAAAGAGAAGGTGCTTCCCTTCGAATATTTTCCGACGTTGTTCTCCTAGATTTCCTCCCCCCCTCTTCTCCTTCCTCCCCCCGCGCTTCTCCGCCCCCCTGTCTCTCGATTCCTCCGCTCCCTCCTGCATCTCTCCTCCCTCCCCTCGGGACACGCGCGCTCACGGAGCAATATTCTGTAGCACCGCCGCGCTCTGTCTCTGTTGCACGGGACCGCGGTTTCAGTTTCAGGGCGCCCAGCCCCCCCTGCCGTACATGCTCGGTGCATGATGCAAGCCATGTCTGTGCCCGCCTCTTGCTTGTCGTCTTTCTCTTCGTGCTGCCCCTCCTGCATCCCCCACTCCACCCTCCTGCCCAATCCTTGTCGCCCGTCCATCTTTTTCCTTCTTCCTGCTTTATCCAGAAACCTCCAGGGGCCCCCCGGGAGCCCATCTCCCTCATCCTCCGCCATCTCCCTCCTCCCAGAAACCATTCCAACCCGATCGATCCGATGCGACATCTGTTATGCCCCGCTCGATCCGGTTCGACCCCGCTAGTCCGACTGTATTCGATGCTGCCCGAGGTGTGCATGGCGGTACTGCGCGTCCTGGCGCGGCCGCTCCGCTCCGGTTCCGACTCCGTGCCGAGTCGGCCGGCTCCGACGCACATTCCCCGTCACTTTTGATGTTTCGATTCGGTGTCGCGCAAGTCATCCTGTCCTCCTCCTCCCCCCTCCTTCCTCAGCCCACGCCCACGCCCGAGGCGCGGTACGTTGCTTGTCCCCCCCCCATGGCGCCCTTGTCGGACGCCGAGCTCTGGGCCTCCCAGATGGGGTCCGAGCAGCTGGGGTCGGAGGATCGCGCCGCATCGCCGATGCATCGGCGATGCGGCTCGATGTTGAGCCTGACTCTCCCTACGCCGACGTCCGTCGCGGATGCGTCGCCGACGCATCGCCGATGCATCGCCGATGCATCGGCGATGCATTGTCGGTGCGGCGCGATCCTTCGACCCCATCTGTTCGGACCCCATTTCGGAGGCCTCCATGTGCCAGTACGATTTATAACAGCGGGCCGATGCCGACCATGAGGAGCGCGCGCCGCCGTTCATCGGGAGCCTCTTTTTTTTCTCCCGCGGCGGAGCGGCGACAACGGAGGGAAGGGGGGGGGGAGGCAGGGGGGCTCGGCATCGCCTGGTCGTGCGCATTCGTCCTCGGCGAGGACCGTCGCGGAGCATGTTCTGTGCCGTGGAGCAACGAAGAGCACGCACGAAGCCGACGGAGATACACGGGGAAGGGGCGTCCGGGCGGCGGGGACGATCCCCAGCAGGCCAGCCCCTGCCGTGACGGCCTCTCTCGCCTCGTTCCAGGACGTGGGCGGGCGGCCCGAGGGGAACTCGAGGGCTCTTCCTCCTCCTCCTCCTCCTCCTCCTCCTCCTCCTCCTCCTCCTCCTCATCCTCATCCTCATCCTCATCCTCATCCTTCTCCTCCTCCTCCTCCTCCTCCTCCTCCTCCTCTTCCTCCTCCGCCTCCTCCTCCTCCTCCTACCTCTCCTCCTCCGCCTCCTCCTCCTCGTCCCTCTCCTCCTCCTCCTCCTCCTCCTCCTCCTCCTCCTCCTCCTCCTCTTCCTCCTCCTCAGCTTTTGGAGAGTTAAAGGCCTCGGCGAGGCTCAACGCGGGACACGAGGGAGCAAGCTCCATTATCTGATCCACCTCCTCCTTCTTCTCCTCCTCCTCCTCCTCCTCCTCCTCCTCCTCCTCCTCCTCCCCGTAGCCTCGCTCCAGGACGTGGGCGGGAGGCCCGAAGGAGCTCGAAGGCGAGGGGCCCTTCACGAAAGGAGCTCGTCACGAAAGGCATCGGCTACAGTGGCGGCCCATGCCAGGAGCCATCCTGTTTGCTTCCAGGGTGCTTTCGGTAGCGAATCTTCGGAGCCTTGTGTACCCTTTTGATTCCGCCTTCCGCGTCGACTAGCGTCGACTAGCGTCTAGCGACTGTTAGCGTCGATGTAGCGTTGATTAGCGTCGACTAGCGTCAATTGGAGTCGATTCGCAAGAGCCGACAATATGGCATGGGAGCCTCCCATGAATTGCCGCCGAATATTTGCTTCCAGGGTGCCGTGGGTTTGTGGGGTGTCGATGGTTTTGCGGCGGAAAGCGCGACGCCCCCGCGCCAATATCCGCCGGGCGTCCTGGGGTTTCAAGGTTAAGTTTCTCGTGGAAGGTCTCTTGTGGTCGAGCCCCTATTGAAAGGCCGCGATCGAGGGGGGAGGTTGCGGGGGGGAAGGGGGTGAGGCCTCCACGAGAAACGCACGCACGACGGTGAGTTTGGATGGTGGTCCGGTGGGAGGGATTGGGGGGTGGCCAAACCCCAGGGCAGTCAGAGAGCGACCCGCGGCGAGAAATTGTATCCAGGGTGTAGATCGAGAGTTCAGGGAGGAGGGGGCAGCGGGGTGATAGGGGGAGGTGGTGCATGGGGATGGAAGCAGGGGAAGGGGGGAGGAGGTGCGGATAGTTGAGCAAGGCGAGAGGATGAATGAGCAAGCGCCAGGGGAATATGCGATGATAAGAAAAAAGAGAGAGAGAGAGAGAGAAAAACACAAAAAAACAGAGACAGAGAGAGAGAGAGAGAGCGAGAAAGAGAGAGAGAGAGGTGGGATGCGGTAGGGAGTGAGGGGCGACGGCGGAGGTGGATGGGGGACGGACAGGGAGGAGAGGGAATGGGGGGGGACGGAGGAAACGGCGGAGGGGGGAATCCGTATGAAGGAGGAGGAGCAGAGGGGAGAGAGCGCGCCGCCAAATCTGCGCGTTCGGCTGAAGCCGGCAACGCCCGGCTCGCGCAGAGGAGGGGCTTTGCTTTTGCCCTCCCGTCGCAGGATCCTGGTCGCGCGGGCGTCCACGAGCGAAGGAGGGGCAGCAGCAGCCGCGGCGCGGAGGGGGCGAGGCGCGGGGGGGAAGCGGAGGAGAGGAGGGGGGGCCGAGGGAGGAGCGCCCGGAGGAGGGAGGAGGGAGGAGGGGAGGAGGAGCAGGAGGCAGGAGGACGAGCAGGAAGGAGCAGAGAGGAGGCAGGAGGAGGGCGAGCAGGAGGCAGGAGGAGGAGGACGAACAGGAGGAAGGAAACGGCGCTTGTGGAGGAGGGCGGGGGAGGAGCGCGATCTCGGACTCCAGGAGGCTTTCGGGCGAGGGAGGAGAGCGGGGTGGGAGGAGCACAGCGCGGAGGAGGAGGAGGCGGAGACAGGAGCCAATGAGATTGGCAGAGCTGGTGTTCAAAAATCAACAGACACGTCTTCTGCGTGGTTAACTGGTTAACCAACACGTCAGGATTGTCTGACACCTGTTTTGCATGTTCGTGAGTCTCTTTGCCCGGGGAGTATTGCTGCCTGAGGTGTTTATGTCGTCATTTCGGACGCCTCTCGGCCCCCACCCTTTGTCGTCGGCTTCTCCCTTTTCGTTGTTATATTTGCTTCCTCCCAGAGTGGTTGCATCCTCCCGGAACCCCCTGGCGCTCCCAATTCTTTTTGGAGAGAGATATCAGACACTCGCCAACGTGGCCAAGTCCACTGACGACGTTCTCATCGGGCATTTGGGCGCGAACCTGTCAAACGACGCCAGCCCCGCGCAGATGTTAGGATGGCCTGGCGCATGGCTGCCTTTGGCCCTGGTTGACACGAGACCCCTGCATGTTGTTGACCGCTGTATCGGCGCGCACGATGCAGTCATTTCTGGCGGTGGCCCTGCGAGGAGGGACCATGACGGCGTGGTGCCCGAAGCCACGGGCCTAAAGGGACTGCCTCAGATGGAAGATGGTGCGCCTCGAGGTGGAATGCCCCAGCGTTGATGGCGCGCTGCCTGACTCGAGGAACGACAAAACCGCCGACAGTCGGGGCCTTGACCGAAGGAACCCTAGTTACGGAACGAGGCCCCCTTTTCCCATCAGTTCAACTCCGATTCCCCATGGAAAACCTAAGGACAACCCAAGGCAAACTGTAAAACCATCAAGGAACACCGAGCCCCTCCCCAACGAAGAGGGTTCCTTCTCCAGCGCCCCGACTGTACACACTCAGGCTTGGAGCGCTGCGCCGATCGCTCGGGTCGTCGCGCGGGACCCCCGTGGCGGCGCCTCTGGCGCCCAGCGCGCCGCTCCACGAGGTCTGCGCCACGAACTACGGACATGTACAGTCGGGGCGCCTCCTCGTTGGGGAGGGGCTCCGTGTTCTTTCATTGTTTCGCAGTTTGCCCTAGGTTTTCTTCAGATTTCTGTTGATGGGGGATCAAAGTTTAACTTGTGGAAGAAAGGGGCCTCGCTCCTTATTTAGGGTTCCTTGGATCAACGCCCCGATTGTGTGCCCGTGCCGTTTAGTACCTCCCTCGAGGGAGGGCCCCGCGATGAATCGGATGATCTTCCCGATCGGCGGCGAGCGAACTAGGGGGGGGGAGGGAGACGCGGCGGGCCTTTTTGTTCTGTTCAGAAGGTTCGGAGGTTCCCCGGCCCTCTGAAACGTTCCCCGAGCCCCCCCCCCGAAGACACCGAAAGCTCCGCGGCAGGCGCGAGGGAGCTGCCGAGAGGTCCGGCCGCCTCGCGAGAGGGCCCTGACCAGGGGAACAAACAATGGCATAAGCATGAAAACGCGGAGGTCCGCGCGGATTTCTCGGATCGGCGCTGGACCCCCCTCCCTGGCGCGTGGAGCGCGCCAGGGGCGGCGCCGGAGGCGCCGCCGGGGGGCCCCAGCGCCGATCCGAGAAATCCGCGCGGACCTCCGCGTTTTTACGCTTATGCCACTCTTTGTTCCCCTCTTCTCCTGCTCGCTTCCCCCCCCCCTTGGCTCGCCGCCGACTTCTCTCGACGCCGGGCCCCGCGCGGCAGCTGTGTGCACCTGGACAACGAGAAGCCTGGCATCGCTCGGACGTGAGCGTTTTTCCTCGGCAACAACCATTGAGGACGATCCTGGACCATCGAGCGAAAAAACACACGCACGAAACCGACACATGCACGGGAAATGGACGTCCGAGCGATGGCGAGAAAGGGCCCCTACGCCGAGGGCTGCACCCCCGAAGGGGCAGCCCTCGGCGCCCGCGGGCGCCGAGCGGGCGAGGTGGGCGGCCCGCGCGCCGCCGCAAAGGGGGGGATGTGCGTCGCGCCGGCCTGGGCGCCGCCGTGGCGCGCCTGTTCCTGTCCACTGCCAGCTGCTGGGCCTCCCAGGTGGGGCCCGAGTAGAGTCGGGCCGAACGAAAGGGGGGGATTGGGAAAGGGGGGGGTTCGAAATCTGCTGTATGCAGCTGGTTTCGGCCCCACCGAGGGGCCCATTCCTCTGGCGCGGGCGAGGAGGACCACGACAGTGCAGGTTTACATAGGCGTTTGGCCCTTCACTTCCTCCAGTTTTCGCGCACGGGCGGGATGACGACGAGAGACAGAGGGAGAATGAGCGTTAGACGCATGTTAATTATTCCCAACACAGTATTTGCACTCAGAGGTTCTCAGTTGTGTTCGAAGGAACTGGGTCGTGTCCTCGGTCTGGCGGCTGTGTGGTCGCCGCTCCGTCGCCGCCCCGTCGCCGCCCGTCGACTGGACTGTGTCTTCGCTTTGGCGGCGACGTGGTCGCCGTCGCCGCCCCGTCGCGGCGCAATCGCCGCCCGTCCATGGGGCCTCTTTGGCGGTCTGGCGGCTACGGTGCTCGCCGTCGCCGCGTCTGTCGCCAGCTCGTCGCCGTGCGCTGTCCGGGCCTGCCCTGAGGCCCGGCGGCTCTGTGCTCTCGCCGTCGCCGCCGCGTCGCCGCCCCTGCCTCCGCAGCAGGGAGTGCACCACAGAGAGACCGCACCGCGCAGGTTGCGCCCCACAGACTGCACAGCATCGCTTGCATCTCATAGAGCACACACACACATAGATTGCAGCGCAGGTATGGCAGATTCGTAGATCACATTGCAGCGCATATTCGTAGATCATATATATATATATATTACAGCGCAGGTATATTGCATCTCGTAGATCACATCTCATACAACTCGTAGATTGCAGCGCAGGTATGGCACACATGTACTGCACAAGGGGGCTGGTCCACATGGAGGCACAGCACAGATCGCACGGCATCAGTCGCGCAACATGTATTGCAACACGTAGGCTGTATAACACATTGTGTGCAACGTAGATTGCACCCCAAAGGCGGTACAACGTAGACCGCACGACATATTTTGCACAACATAAATCGCACCACGTCTATTGCACGATCTGTCGGTAGAAGCGCACTGTTTGTTTTTTCATGCTGGCAGTCGGCGGCGAGCCCGGGGGGGAAGTGCGAATTAGAACGCCTTCTCAGAAGGCTCGGAAGCTCCCGGGCCTTTGATCAGTTTTTCAATGCAAAACATATTAAGAAGGCGCGAGGGCTTCTGAGAAGCCTCGCCGCCTTCTAAGACGGCCTTCTCCTTCTCACTTCCCCCCCTCGCCCGCCGCCGAGGCAGACATAGTATGATTAATGTACATGTGCCCCCGTTTTCATGATCGCTGCCCTCTTCGTTATCCCTTCCTTGCCGTGCTTCCTCGTCTCCCTTCTTCGACCTCGCTCTTCCTGGTGAACTCGTGTTTCCCCTGTTTCCTCGCGTTCCCGCTGTTCTTTGTGAACTCGTGCTTCCTCGTTCTTCCTGTGTGAATTCGTGCTTCCTTCTTTTCCCGTCTTTCCTTCGTTGTCTTTGCTTTCCCGTGCTTCCTCGTTCCCGTCTTTCCCCTTCCTCTCATATTTCTTCTCACTGTTCGGCGGAGACTCCTTCCTGGCAGGTTTCCAGAGGCCTTCTGAAGGCTCCTTTGAGATTTCCTGGGGGCCGCTAGGGTCATCCTCGGAGCTGTTCGGGAGCCTCTGGGGGCTTCTTGGGCCGTCTCGTGCTCAACCTGCGTTCCCCTCAACGACCAGATCCCGACGTGGAGTAATTTTGGACATCTCTGCATGTCTTTCTGGACCGTCTTGGGGTTCCTTTGGGCTGTGTTACAGTCCTGTTTGATAGTTTTTGGGCTCTCATGCATTGCTGGCCCGCGCTGGGGCGATCCAGGGGTCTCTCAGCGATCTCGGACGCACTGGAAACCGAAGAAGTGGATCCGTTTCAGTTTGCTTTTTGGGGTTCTGGTTGGGTCGCCTCGAGGCGTCCCGGGGGGTCTGTGTCCACTTTGGACTCCCGTGAGGTTGGTTGGGCGCCCTCCCGATAAGTTTGCATCCGTTTTTGAAGCTTGACAGGGGATTCCAGGAGGCCCAGGAACTCTAAGAGATGCTGACGCGTTGCAGGGGTGTCGAGGAGGACCAGGAGGCCCAGAATTCGTTCGGACCTGGGGTTGGGGGAGACGCCTGCGTGTGCGGGGCCTCTGGGCGCCCCATGCCAGCAGACACGTCTACCTAGGAATATATGCCCCCTGTGTGAGGTATGAACCAGTGGGTATGACGAATGGACTCAGAGGATCTCGATGGCTCCCACGTGTCTAAACGTTCGTTTGCTATGATGCCTTCGACGGTGTTCGAAGGGATCGGGGTTGGAGGTTCTCCGCAGTATCACGAGGTTCCCGGCGAGGAGGACGAGCTGGAGGAGGGGGCTCTTGATGGAGGACGGGGACGTGGGCGAGGGGGGGGAGGAGCAGGACGAGTTGTTGGAGGAGGAGACGGAGGAGGACGTGGTGGAGGACGAGGACGAGGGCGAGGGGGGGGAGGATGGAGGAGCAGGACGAGCTGGAGGAGCAGGACGAGCTGAGGAGGAGGAGAGGAGGAGGAGGAGGACGTGGTGGAGGATGGAGGACGAGGGCGAGGTGGGGGGGGGGGATGGAGGAGCAGGACGAGCTGGAGGATG